AGCCCGCTGCCTCCCACGCTGCAGAGCCACCATCACAGCCCGGCCGCGCCTGCCTTCCCACCCCGCACTTCCCCAGACCCTGGACCCTCCTGTCTGGAGAGCCATGACCCCTGCCCGCAGCTCCAGCTCCACCCCGCCTAATTTGAGGCAGCTGATACAGACTCTGGAATCCAGCAGAACTAGGTTCAGATCTGGCTCTACGACTCACTAGATGTGTGGTTTGCGTCACAGGGCTCTGAGTCTCAGCTGTCTCATCTATGAAATGGGAACAATGACCTACTTCATAGGATTTAGAATCAAGTACTATCATTTCTTGGGCAGCTGTCCCATGTCAGGCCTCGTGCTACAGGCATTTAAAATGTTTATTTCCTTGAATTCATAGGAGGGAGGGATTCTTCATCTCAAGAACACACAGTGACGAGGGCCAGTCAAGAAGAGCCTTTATGGTTCTCTACACACAGCTCTACAGTGAGAAGCGGCATCGCAGCCTTCCCCAGGTGTCACAGGACCACCGGAGAAGGGAAGTTAGGGACCTCAAGTCAGACACCGAGACACCAACGAGGACGGCGGGGAGGAGGGTCCACGGGCGTGGTTAATGCTCAGGTCTTGTCCAGGAGGTCAGCATTTCTGAGTTTGTGATCTTGGAACTTTTACCACCCCCTCACCCCCTCCAGAGAGGGAGTGGGAGGGAGAAAGTGGGAGGTTGCAAGAGCAGCCCCATAGGGAAATGCACAGTCCCATGAGTGGAGCTGCTCTGGGATTCAGAGGCGTCTCCGGCCCCACCTCTGTCCACTGAGAACACACCCGGGCATGGAGGAGTGGACTCTCCCCCAGCCCAGCTTCCCGGGGACCTAGGTGTCCCCTTCCTACTAGAGCTGAGGACAAGGTGAGGGCCCACTCAGGACCCTGGACAGTGTGATCAGGGCCCAGGGAGATTTGGGTGAAGCCAGTGGAGGCTGTAGCCCCACCCAGGGCCCTGCCCCAGCCCCTTCCCTTACAAACTATAGGCCTGGACGGAGACCCTTTGCCCTCCCTCCAGAAACCAGGGCCTGGCTCACCAGTGACTGGTCCCTCCCTGGGGCCTCAGTGCCTGCAGTGCCTGGCTTGGCCACCAGCCCTGAGACTTCTTGCCCCAGCCTCCTCCTCTGCCCTCCCCACTGGGGTCAGCAGCCCCGTGACGCCACCAGTGCCAAGGCGCTGAGCCAAGTGTTCTTCCCCACTGCCCCTCCCTGAACAGGAGGGACCCATGGAAGCAGAGATGGGGCTCCTCAGGTCTCCTCTTCACACATCACTGAGGGGCTCTGAGAGAGCAGGTCCAGCCCTTGCATTACTGAGGGAATGAATGCTAGATGGGAAAACCTACCTGCACCCCCTTCCCTGCCACTGCTCACATTGAAAACCAAGGCTCCTGCCTGCTGGCCAGGAACTCAGCCCTCACCCCTAGGCCTGGCTTCAGTAGCCGGCTCTCAGTCCCACCCACATTGTTGCCCCCAGCTCTTCAGGCCCTGCCTGAGACAAGAACGGAAGCACATCGAATGACTTAAGAGGTGGGAGGCCCAACCATTGCAGAGATGGAAGTTTGCTTGGTCTGACATTTTTGAAAACGGGAGACCCTGACCCCTGGGGGCCCTACCTGCAGCCCCCAGAGCCTCACCTGCCTTCCCCTCTCCTTGGGTGAGCTGCCTGCTTCCACAGGGCCCAGTCAGACCTGTGACCCCATGTGCTGTCTTCCTGGGAATGCCTTCTGTTCCTACCAAATAGGGGCCTGGAGACCCTCCAACACCCAGTGGGGAGGCTGGAGGAGCTGCGTGCCAGGCCCCTAAGGTGGGCCTGGGCAGGGACAAACCCCAGGCCCCTCAGGGCCCCTGGCAGCTGTCCCCCACCTCATGTGGTTAGAAAAGGAGAAGCACTGCGGAGTGGGCAGGATGGGATGCAGGCAGGAAGCCGTCAGAAGGGCAGTGCGGTCAGGGCAGCTCCTGGGCTAGCAGAGGCGTGTCTGAGCTCTGCCCTGAGATGCTGGGTGACTCTGGCCCGATGAGCCCCAGGCCATACAAATTAAGGATGGAGTCAGCGATGATTCGGGCCGTGCGCTTCTGGTAGCCGCCCGAGGTCACCATGAGGATGGGCACCTGGCAGGCCCGGGCCACCCGGAACACCAGCTCATCCCGCTTCACGATGCCCTGTGGAGGTTGGGAAGGCTAGCTCAGGTAGGCCTCGATCCTTGTGGCATCGGGGTTCTGCTGCAGGTCTAGCCTTGCATGGCCTGCTGCTGTTTCCACCCCCCCTCCCTGATATCAGAAGTACCAATGTGGCCACCTCTGTGTCCCCCTGCAGCTCAGTCTGCAGAGCAGACCCTCCCCTGCCCCAGGTCAGGATGTACCTGTGGGCTGATGGACAGTCCCCCGAGGCGGTCCCCCTCAAGGATGTCTGTGCCGGCATTGTACACCACCACATCGGCAGGATGCTCCTGAAGGGCTTTCTTGAGGTTCCTCTCCACCTTATCCAGGTATTCGTCATCCTCTGTGCCCCACTCCAGCTCCACCTTCCGCCTGATGGCCTCTGAGAGGAACACACGGATACCCCCATGTGCAGAGACGGGAAATTGAGGCTCAAGAGGGCAAAGATTGCTTGGGTCCCTGTCAGTGCCCAAGGCAGGACTAGAAAATAGTCTGACTCCAGGACTGCTCGGCCTCTCATTTCACTCAAAACAGAGCAAAAAAGAGCACCAAGAGCTACAAAAAGGGACCCAAAGGAGAGAAGGGGACCTGCAGATAAAACACAGGGACACCCAGACGCGGGACACCATGCTGTGCCCTTATGTTCAAATCCAGCACACTCAAGATTCAGTTCGGAAACTGGCCCCTTGGGCACACCAGCAGCCGAGTGCCCACAGCAGACTCACTGCCCTCCCAGCATAAAGGTCCCTACCCACAGTGGGCAGGTGCCCACGCTTTCATAGCTCACCCGAACACCGCTGCCTTTAGACTGGTAGCTGAACCTGCCTGCATGTTTTACCGACTATTACATTTGAACTGCTTTCTGCTATCCTATTCATCGTATTTTCCCTCATTTCCTTTGGTCATTCCCTGTGCTCTACCAGGCAGATGAATACCCAGGAGTCCATTTCTAGCCTTCTGAGGTCCCCCAATGTAAGGACCCACCCAGATGTGTATCAGACAGAGAATGCAATCTTGGGTGGGTCATGTGATTTCCTTGGGTCTGCTTCCTCATCTGTCCAATGGGAACAACTCCCACTTTGCAAGGCCCAGCACACAGGAAATACTCAGGAGAGAGAGCCCCATCCAAGCAAGAGTGAGTCAGGACCCAGGGGTGGCGGGCAGCTTACGCTTGGCAAAGCGGTCCCCAGGGTAGATGTGGCGGTTGTAGACGTCCATGATGTACACACGCTGGTCGTCCATGAAGTCCCGCTCATGCCCATTGCCCTGCAGGGAGAATATGGGAGCCACTTGCAGGCAGGTGCCCTTGGAAAAGCCAGGACCCACCACCCCCTGGGCCTGGGCAGTGTGGTTTCTCCCTGCAGCAGAGGGTCTCATGGCTTAGGTGACAAAGCTGGGATTCAACCTCAAAATCTGGCCCCATGACCTTCCAGCATGACCTTGAGCGAGCTCCAGCCCTGTTTCTTCTCTAGGAAACAAGGCAGGAATCCTGGCCCCTACCCTCTCAAGGCTGTGGCAGAATTGGCTCGGATCAGGGATGTGAAACATGAACTGTAAAGGGCTGTACTCGTGTGGTTAAGGAGCTCAGTGCCCCGTGACCGAAGCAGGGCGGGACCATCACAAGTCACAGCAGCAGAGGCGGGGGAGGGGCCTTCAAGAGCCCACCGGATGCCCCGCTGTATCTCGGACCAGAGGAGCCAGATCTGAGTTGCCAGTAGTCCTGATGCTTTACCCTGCAGTGGCTGAGCAGCCCTGAACCCGGTGAGCATGTTCCCGAGGAGCAGGTCCACAGTGCCCCTGGGCACCGCGCACTGGCTGGGGGGCCACTGAGGGGCTTAGACACAAGAACTGCACTGCCAGACAGGGGCTCTTCCCCCGTTAGGGAGGCAGTCAGGAGAAGGGAGGGAGGACACTCAGGTTTCACAGGCGCACTGAAGAGGACCAGCCACCCTGGCGGGGCCAAGGGGCAGAGGGAGGAAGGCAGACCCTGGGCCTCCAGCCTGCAGTCTCCACACAGAGAGGGTGGCAGCAGGAGAGGCTGAGCAGGACGAAGGGGGCAGGGGTCTGCCTTGGGGCTCAGGAATGCTCCCAGGAGCGTGTCCCACAGAACAGGCTGCATGACAGATGCTGATGGGAGTACACACAGGGGGGCTGAGAGGGGGCCCATGGGACCCCAGCCCCACAGGGCACTTACCTGATGGGCATCGAGATCAACAATGGTGGCCCTGGAGATGCCCTCCACTCGCTCAAACAGAAACTGCCCATGGGAGGAGAGGGGAGATGTGAGGTCCCACACAGGCCAGACATAGCCCCTTGGGGACTCAGCTGGTGAGGGGCCACGGCAGGAGGCCATACATGCTTGTGGACTGTCAGGACCGGCAAAGACATCATATGCCCAGGAGAGCTGTGCAGCTCTAGAGAAGCACGTGTGTATGGTCAGGGAAGCCTGCCTGGAGGCAGGGGCCTGGGCTGGGCCCTGAAGGGCCAGAAGTCAGGAGGTGAGCAGGGGAGTGAGGCTGGCCCAGGGAACCTAGGGAAATGTGTGGTGGCTGGAACTTCATTCTACAATCTTCGCCTTCCTACAAGGTCGTATCCTCATGCCTGCTCCTCTAGGAAGCCCTCCTCCCCTCCCTCCACCCTCCAAGGCCTCTCTGAATGGCAGGGTCTGTGGACCTGCCCCCACCCCACCATTAGTCTGTGTTCCTGACGCCCAGCCCAAGGCCAGGCGCAGAGTGGTCGGGGAGCTCAGGGGTCTGACCAACACAGAGGCCAAGGCCAGCTCTGTGCCTCTGACTGTGTGACCTCACCTCTCTGGGCCTCAGTTTCCCCATCTGTAATGTGAGGATTCACTGAGGTGAGCCACGGAGAACAAGGACTGGCACAAGCTTGAGCCTGCAGTAAATGCCATCAGTATATTGTGACCCTTATTTCCATCTCCCTTGCCCTTCCTACACTGTTAATATACATGCTGCCCCCCAGGCCCCTGCCATTGTTGAAGGCAACACAGAGGAGAGGGGCAGATCTGGGTTTGAGCCAAGCCCGGCTGAGCGATGCGGGGACCTTCCTCCCCCGAGCCTCGCTTCCCTTCTCTATCCTGTGGGGTGAGAACACAAAGCTGGGAGTGGCAAGGGGATCCAGGGAGGGCTCTTGGAGCTGAGCCCCACATGCTCTCCTACACACCTTGATGGCGAGCGTGATGTCCGCATAGGCGCAGAAGCCCCCGCCCCGGTCGCTGGAGCAGTGATGGAAGCCGCCACCTGTGGAAGGGCAGCCACGGAGAGGTCAGGCTCAAGAGCTCGACCCCCCTCCTGCCCCCACCCTCCCACGTGCCCTCCCTGTCAGCTCCCAGGAAGAGCAGCCATCACAGCCACCTGTGCTATACAAAGAGACCTCTTCGGGTATCCCAGCAGGTCAGCTCCCAGTGCCCACGCATCCCCTTAGGGGACGGGAGCTCATCCTTCCCAACACAGTAGGTCTCCATAGAGCTGGGCCTGCCCACATGTGAGTCCTCCTGCCAGAAAAGGGTGGTGGGGCTATGGTGGCAGATTTACCTCAGGAACACCCAGATTCTGCTGGATGGTAGAAGGCAGGGCACCCTCTGCTGGTCATGCCTGCCCATGGCAATGGCAAGGGCCCTGGAGACTGGGTCCTCACCCGAGACACAGCCTCAGAGCCTCGGTGCCCATGGTGCACATTCCCCTGCAACCCCTACAAGAACCTGAGCTGCAGGGCTTCTGAAGTTGAGCCCAATAACTGCCTCACCTGGCAGTGTGAGGCCAGGCCCCACAGACACAGGGACTTGCCTCTTCCACCACCCAAGAGGCTGTCATTGGATCATAATGATGCGAAAACAGACAACAGTGAACTGCTAACCAAGCACTGAGCTCGCTGAAGCCTCTCTACAGCCCTAGCAGGCAGCATTATTATCACCATCTCCATTTTATAGATTAAAGACCTGAGGCTCAGAGAGGGTCAGCAACTTGTCCTGGGTCACACAGCTAGCTAATGGCAGAACCAAGATTCAAACCAAGGCTAGATCAGGACCCAGGCTCTTAACCTCTATCAGGCCATGATATCTTCCATGGGGGAAGGGCCTTCCTGAGTCCTCTTGGGAACCCTGTAGAAACACATGGCATGTGTCACTCATTCATTTGTTTAGCAGAGTCTCACAACATCGTGGTTGCCAGATGATGGGCACCTGGCCACACCAAGATGGAAAAGAGCCAGCCCTTGGTCTTGCAGTGCTCACAGTCCAGGAGGGGGGTGGGGGGAGGCAGTTATGGGGCTCTGAGCAAGCCACGAGGCCTCTCTCGATGTCCATGTTCTCATCAATGTCATCGAACTGAACAGTAACACCCAGCTCAGATAAGAGGCTGGACAGAACAGGGCTTCACAACCCGGGACGTGCTGAGCCTTTCTGAGGGACAAGGCAGGGTTGAGGAAGACATGGGTGAGCCCTCCCATGAGCCAGTCTTGTCAGGGAGTCCAAGGGACTGGGGAATGCTGGCCTTCAAGGCCCCTGAGGATGAAGTGATATTGATCCTGGGCCTGGCTACCCATGTGACATGACCTGCAGGCTGTCCTGGGCCTCAAGAGGTGGATGGAGTCTTTGGGGGGAGCCTCTAAAACTCTGCAGGTTCCAGCCCCATGCAGAGCTGTCCAGGGGATGGCACAGGCTTCCTGGGAGAGCGTGAGCTTCCCACTGCTGGAAGTATGCAAAGGCAGGGCTGGGGAGCAATCTGGAGAACTCTTTTAGACAAGGATTCCATGCCAGATGGAGACACTGGACGGTCGCTCCCAGGCACCAGAACCTCTGAACTCTCAGCTGCCTCCTCCAGGTTCCTCCTGGCCCTCCAGCCCCAGGCCCTGACAGGCCAGCTCCCCCAGGCAGGACACTCACCCACATTGATGGCCCAGCCTCGTTCCACTGCCAGTTTCCCCGCCTGGGAGACAAGCACAGGGTGAAGAGCACAGGCAGCCCTCTCCTTCACTCACTCCCTCACTCATTCATCCCATAAACACTATTTCTAGCCAGCTTTGAAGTGGGGATGAGCTATAGGAGGCACCCATCCCCTGGCAAACTCAGTCCCAGAAGCAAGCACCAGGTTGGGTGGCATATAGGATGTGCAGTGCAATGTTGTGAGGAAACTGGCATAAATAAAAGTTAAGTACTTATGATCACACATAAGCTGACAATGACTTTACTGTGGCTTTCTAAGGGAAAGAGACAAGTTTTTGCTCATAGAAACACAGTAGACTGAATACTGAAGCCACAGGAAACCAATGTTTTGGGGGTGGGTAGTAATTATGTAATAAACTAAAAAAAGATACAAATTTGCAAGCTAAAAAGAAAACGATAGGGATCAATAGGCATTTACCAGGTCTGAATCAGGTATCGTACACAGATATCTGAAGTGTTTCTCTACCTCCAATCAACTCGGCAGACTCTGGCTAATTTTAAAGAAAACTACACACAGGACATGAAACCTACGTGGGGGAGTGTTCTTCATCCCACCCCTGATGGGGATGAGGGGCGTGCCACCCATCATTAAAGTCATGGGGGTCTGGTTCTTAAACTTGAGTACACTGGAGTGATCGTTTTAGGACATACCTCTGGGGGATGGGGTAGATCTTACATACCAGCAAATACGGTAACTCAGTGGACATTCCTGGGAAAGGAACAAGCCTAATGTCCTGGATGGGCAAGGCTTTGAGGGAGAGTCACTGCTGCTGGGCCTTGAGGAACACTTAGGATTTTGTCCAACTACTAAGTGGGAGGAGGGCATTCCAGATGGAGAGCGCAGGGTGGGCGGAGGCCCAGAGGTGGGAAGGAGCCAGGTGTGGGGGTCCCCAGCCCAGCCCTGTGTCCCACCTGCCTCCCCACCTACCATTATGGTTCCTCCTGTCTGGGTCCGAAGGGGCTTCAGCACCTTCCTCTGCACAAGGAAGTTGGGGAGAAAGATGACAGGGGGGATTTCTGTGATGGTAGCGACAGCAAAGGACCACTGTGGAAAGAGACATAGGCCATTGGCCTCCCACTGCCATGCCCAGAGCTCAGAGGCAGTAGCTGGGAAATTAGGTTTCCTCTAGTGCCAGTTTCAAAGTGCCCTGGGTGAACTCTGGGCCAGGTGCAGTTACTTTGGTAAGAAACAAGTCCCCACCACCGCCAGGCTGGCCCCCACCAGGCTCTGCTCAGTAACGCCTTACACAGCACCTTTTCTTAAAGCTCCGCCAGCCACATTCCTCAGCGCTCCAAAGCCCTCGGCTGCCCTCCTGTGTCCAAAACAAGAGCTGAGGAGGACAACAGCTTACAGACGCACAGACCCAGAGCTGGCCCCGCCCTCCCACTGTACAGAAGGGGACACTGCGGGCCCCAGCAGGGAGGAGCTTTCTTTCCAAGGTCACACAGTGTGTCACGGACAGAGCCAGGTCTGGGAACCCAGGGGCCCTGCTCCCCAGCACAGTATGTATGGCTCTTTCATCCACTGGGAACTGGACCTTTCAAAAGTAGAGTCCTGCCTCCTCTCTGGCTGCTGAGGCAGGAGGACTGGGCCACCTAAAAGGCATTTGCACTAAGATCAGGACACAGCTTTTTCTGGGCCCTCCAGGGCCCTGGGCAAACATCCATGCCTCCAGACCCTGTGCCTGGCTGAGAATGCACCTAGGCCCATGCTCCCTGCTCCCACTGACCAGGCAGAGACTCGGAGGGGACCAGGGTGCTTTGTAAATGTTTATTAAGGGCCTGCCTGGCGCCAGGCCCCGAGGTGGAGGCTGGTTCTGTCCTCATGTCAGGATGCTTGCAGCCTAGTGGAAGTACTTATATGCAGTGTGACAAGCTTTGGGATGAAGAAAAGGGTCTGATGGGGGCGGGGGGCAGACAGGCCTTCTGGAGGTGGTGACACGAAAGCAGAGACTAAAGGTGAACAAGAGTCACTCAGCTGCAGGGTCCAGGTAAAAAAATTACTGCTGGCAGAGGAGAAGCGAGTCCATGTTCAGCGCAAGTTGAGTACAACTGGACACGGAGGGCTGGTCTGCAGCAGAGGCTCTCAGGCCTGTCAGAGCAGTGGGGCCTCAGACTGTGCTCCCCACGCTGCTGTGGTTGTAGCAGGAGGACCAGTTAGGGGAATGAGAATAGCAGCCCCAGGGAGGAGTGAGAGACCATGAGGGTCTGGGGCAAGTGAGATGGGGACGGTCAACAGAAGGCATGGGGGGACAGATGGACAGAGGTTCAGGATGCAGGTCAGAACTCCAGGGCTCTGACATGAAGGGCAGAGTCCAGGTTGGAGCCCACTGGGGCAAAAAGGGCTGTCCTGAGACCAGAGGGGTGATGGGGAGTG